GACCCGTCCAGGTGACCCGTCCAGGTGACCCCGCCTCTCACCTAGAATGTTAACTGGAGAGGCAGCAGCACCTCCTGACCCCACTGTACAGAAAAGAGGTGGATGGATGAATTCATACAGGATGTCCAGTGAAAAGTTCTGCAGTTTGAATAACCCGACTAAACTCAAAGTATTACACAGAAATATTAAAACCTTTATTACAGATGATGATAGAAAGTTCAGCTGGTTTAAATATTTTGCACATTAGGGTTAGGGTTAGCTGGAGGAATCACACAGGAAGCAGACTAACATGCTTTTATTTTGGTAACTTCTGGTTCTGATTAGTGAGAAATCTGGAGGATGAAGAGTTCTGATTGGTTTAGAGTTCTGGTTCTGGTTGAGACAGAGGAGTGGGGGGCGGATCTTCTACCCAACATCCATCTGGAAGAACCTGGAAGTGACCTTTAACCCTCCTAGGTCACTGGCTCCGCCTCCTTCCTCGAACTAAACCTAAAGAGGAGCAGAACCGGGCCGAACCAGACCGAATTCTGCTGGAGGGTCAGAGATCGACCTTGAAGATCCAGAGGAAGGAAATGAAGGCCGGTGCTGAGCATCAGTCTGAGGGGGTGGGGCCACACCGTACCAGGAAGTCCAGCCCCAGGAGGCGGGGACAGACCCGGACCAGGAAGTCCAGCCCCAGGAGGCGGGGTCAGACCCGGACCAGGAAGTCCAGCCCCAGGAGGCGGGGTCAGACCCGGACCAGGAAGTCCAGCCCCAGGAGGCGGGGTCAGACCCGGACCAGGAAGTCCAGCCCCAGGGAGGCGGGGATGTGCACGGCCTCCAGGCTGAGGGCGGACGGGGCGTAGGGGAACAGGACGGGGAAGGTGTGCTTGGTGTCCAGCAGCAGCTGCGGCGGGTCGTTCCTCTCCTGGAGGACGCTCTGCAGAGACAAACAGAAAACACACAAGTTCCTCCTGAACTGTTGTGGTTTCACTTGGTGAACATGTCTTAGGAATTAGGTCCCAGACTTTGACTAGGTCGGTTTCAGCTCAGACTGACCTGAATGTTTCTGATGAAGGACACGGTGACTCGCTCCTCGAACTCGTTCAGAGGCGTGTAGAGGTTCAGGATCTTCACGATCTGCAGGACCAGACAGGAAGTGGTCACAACCTGCTCCCATGTTCAGGTCCACCAGTCGGCTAACTGGGAGAATATTACAGATGTTTCTTTTCTAAACTCGACTCCATCAGCTGACCTTCCTCAGCTAACAGGACTCTGGAGGTCCACACGGTTCTGTTCTTGGTTCTAATTGTTTGTGTTTTCCTGCTTTTCTTTCATCATTTCATAAAAGCTTCATCTCTGTTCTGTTTATGATCTTCATGTTTCTTTGATTCCCTTTATATTCAGGACGTTTTTGGAGTCGACCAACTTTTGTGACAGTAAACCTAAACGGTGGAAACACGTCAAGGTGCTGCTCAGATCACGAACTAAAGGTGTTTTTAATTCATCATGATCCATTCAGAGCTGAGCAGCCAGGTGTGGAGCTGAACCTCTGACCCGATGAACCTCTGACCTGCTGAACCTCTGACCCGATGAACCTCTGACCCGATGAACCTCTGACCCGATGAACCTCTGACCTGCTGAACCTCTGACCTGCTGAACCACTGACCTGCTGCACGGTCAGAGCCGTGCACAGCGAGCAGATGGCCTCGGCGTCCTGAGACGTTTTCTTCTTGACCTGCAGCAGCTGGGCGGCCTGGATGATGGGCTCCAGCGTGGCCGAAGCTTTGCTCTGGAACAGGTTGTTGGCTCGCAGCCACTCCTCCAGCTGACTGGTGTTGTACCTGAACAATCAGACAGGGGGCAGCAGTCAGACTCCAGCGGTCGGACCTGAACCTCCGGTCTGAGTTCTGGTGGTACCTGAGCTGCATGCCCGTGCTCCAGGAGCAGACGTCCTTACGCAGCAGCAGGTTGTTGAGGGTGAAGGCGTTGATGCAGTGGAAGAGCTGGCGGACCACCTGGCCCACCACCTCGGGGTCCAGTCCGTGGTCCCTCATGATGCTGTTGAACTGGCTGAGCTGCCGGATGAGGCCCTGCAGGGTGTAGGTGGTGGGCCCGTCCGCGTCCGTGTCCATGCTGGACGAGCGGTTCCTGTAGCCCATGGACTTGACTCCGGCCAGGCTGGGAATGCTCTCGCTCTCCAACATGGCCGACACTAAGGGGTAGAGATATGGGTCAGAACCTTCAGGTCCAGAAAGAGACCCATCTGGTGAACCTGATGACTGATCCTCAGGACTCAGATGGAAACCAGAAACCAGGGGGTCCAAAGTGGGTCCTGGAGGCCCGGC